AATAATATGTTTAAAATCAATTGGATCAAACAATTTTTGGGTAATCCCTCATCGATTTGGAACTTTATACCTAACTTGTATATTTTCTCAACTTGGTGTCTTAACTTTGTACTTTTATGTGACTACAAAACAGAAAAAAATTCCCTTGGCTTTATCCAATTTCCACTAACAAATACTTTTGGCTTGGTCCTTGATATATAAACATAATTTTTCCCCTCATAAATGCTTTATCTGGAATAATCGTTACATCTTTACAAGAATAGATCATTATTTCTCCATAATTGGTTCAGTGATAAAATAATCCTGGTCAGTCAACTAATCAATAATCAAGGTTTCCTTTTAAGTTACTCTGAATTTTTTAAATAAATTTAATCTACCTGTCACCCCAAAGGAATTTGCTACAGTCATGAATGCTATTCCTTCTGGAATCTTGACCCTCTTGAAAGGGGTGGACAGAACAACCTCCGCACCTGTCATGATTGTTTGTGACCAACAGGTGGCACTGTAGGGTTCTCCCTGCAGCTGCACACCTGTTGGTCATTATGCAATTAGTACTTTAAAAGGACTCCAAGCCCGACCACTCATTGTCGGGTCATTGTTGATGTTGGCTACTGTCATGTTTGTTTGTTGCTGTTTGCTTGCTGCTGTCATGTTTTTGTTCCTGTTAGTTTTTTGCCACAGCCATGGTTTTGGTTTATTACTGTGGAATCTTTTTGTTTTCATGACTTTGATTGTTCTGGATTTATTTTCTGTGTTTTAATACAACTCGTCAAGTTCACCCTGCTCCTCCCTCCTGCCTGTTTTTTGGGGTCCACCACCACCTCGCTACGTGACAACACCAACCCTGGACCCCAAAATGACTGCTATCGGCAAATCCTGTTTTACGTCAACATCAGTCAGAAATAACAACCGTAACATACGTTCCCTGTTTCAAAAAGATATTTCAACAACCCCACATATTATTACTCACTGGTCCGGTTTTGTCGATAATCTACACTGGGGAAAAATCTGGTCTCTCCCATAC